ATCACCCAATAGGCCTTTGATATGGTCAAGTTGGCATCCACCAACCGCTTGGACCATGAGCATGTACGCATCAAATAAGCGTTTTATCCATGCTCCTTTCAATTCCATGGCCTCTGAAATCTTTTCCTTTCCTTCCACCATATCCAATAACTTGTATTGGGTAAACATGAGCCTCATACAGAAGCTCTAATGCTCATAATCCTCCCCCATGAACTTCTCAATAGAGAAGACTTTCATAGGATCTATAGATATAGGAGATAGAGTAGTGGAAGGGGGTAGCATATGGGAAGTTGGTTTGTGAGTTTCCACTCCACCACCAATGGGGCGCTGCAGGACATCCGGGGCCACAGCACCGTCGCTCTGCAAGGTGCAGCAGAGAAGCGGGTGCTCATCTTTGACGTGCTCTACGTGCCGAGCGTGCAGGCGAACCTGCTGTCATCCGGCCAACTGAAGGAAAATGGTGTGAAGCTGGCGGAGTGCATAATTGTAGTGTGGGTGGCAAGCTAAGTCGTTAGCAGCCCTTTGTTCGTTAGCTTTACCTAGCTAGGGCTGTGAAGGGAAGCACATATGAGGCTCCTGGGCCATGGGACTACCACTTCATGTTTGTTTTCATGAATCACTGTGATTTCTTTCGAGATAAGCAGTTTTGCAACGAAGCCATATCTGCAGTCAGAATGAGTTAGGTAGTGGGAAGTGTCTTAGCATATAAACGCACAGTCTATGCGATTACGATCGGGGAGAACATTAGAAGGACCGTAGCCGAGGCAGGCGAAGCAAACGAGTATGGTAGAGGGGACCGGTGGTCCGCAAGTGATGAATCCACCGCCGGTGCGCGGGGACACGTAAAGGAAGAACGGGCCCAGCGATGGAGCGACCGGCCCGAGGTGAGGCACTCAGCATGGAACGACAGGTGGCAGGGAGAGACGCCTGGCGGATTGGACGGAGAGCTGTAACACAGTTGATAAGGCTAGATAATGTGGGAAAAGATATAGGTAGTCATATGAACTTGCGTAACAGAAGTAGAGTACTGTAGTAAATAATAAATGAGGCTACTACGAAGGATACGGGCAGGAACACCCGCCAAAGCAGACGTGATGTCGAACCTAGCAGGAATACTGTAGCTAGGAGTAACGGATCAAGGGCAATGGTAAGCATTAAGAGCGGTGGAGGACTAGAGAAGCCCACGCGTCTCCGCTGACGATGATCGGGATGCAAGAGAGGGCCCCGTCTCTGCCAAGGCCCTGGAACCGAGAAGGGAAGGAAGAGCGCTTCAGCCCACAAGGGAACCGAGAACTGGTGGCAAGCCGGACGGTGGTGGGAGTACAAGAAGAGGATTAGGACCCTCCACCTACCCGCAGGTGGAACTCCGCGACATTGCCGAAGGTAGAAGTGGCGGACCGGTACACCGGGATCCCAGGGGTGGGCCCGACACTGAGAATTACTTGATGCAGCTCGAGACCATGCAATACTTCCGGGAACAAGACGGCTTCGACTCGCAGGAGTTCTTCAGGAAGATGCTCGTGACGCTCGCGGGAGAGGCGGAGACGTTCTATCGAATGGTGCGTGGGGAAGTACTGGAAGAGCTGGACCAAGGAGTCATCGTGAACTCGACGGCGAGGTTCATTGAACTGCTAAAGCGTGAGTTTATCGGGCAGACCAAGGCCCGCCTGGAGGAATTTCGGGAGTTCAGAAGGCGCAAGGAGGAGTCGCTACTGGCCTATTACAACCGCCTACAAGAATTGGTGGAGGACCTGGAGAAACGCGATGAACGGCTGCTGGTGCATAAGTTCGTGCGGAGACTAGACGATGACCTACGGCCGGTGGTGCTGACGGCCGCATACGGCATCGGGGCGGATGTGACTCTGAAAGAAGTGTACGGACTAGCGAATCACACCTAGCATGCCTAGCGACTGCTTGAGTTGGATGACGGAGAACGGCGACCGCGGACGAATCCAAGCTGGGCTACTGTGGCACATGCCTGAACGGGGAGAATGGGGAGACCCTAGGAGGTGCTATACGTGCAGAGAGCAGGGTCACCTTGAGCGGGACTGCCCGACTGCGCCTGTCACGCGACCACTGCGGGAGGAAGGGCCACCGCGCCGCACACTGCTTTTAGAAGAAGCCCCGGGCCGGAGACCCTTCGAAGGAAGAACTGCAGGCCGAGATCCGGAGGCTGCAGGGCCAGCTGGAACGGATGCCGAAACCGGAAAATCAAGCCATGTTGGCTATCGACCAAGTACCAGACGAAGACCTATCGGAGGAGGAGTTGGTGCGCGAGTGCGGGTTCATGGCATATCCTCGCGAACGCAGCGACATCGACTTACGCCAGCGATAAGAGATTTCTGGAGAATCGAGGACCACGAGTCGGAGGGATCGGGCGCAGCCAAGGAGCGGTTCGTCCAAACCATTAAGAAAGGCCTGAAAGCGTATGGAGAGCAGTATAAGCGGGACAGGGACCTGAGGCTGCCTTGGGTAGAGGCAGGATACAGATTCAGTAAGCATGCGGCACTGCGAGACATGTCACCATACTACTTCCTGTTGGGCAGAGAGCCGATACTGCCAATTGACACGCTTAAACAACTGAGTGAGCGATACCGTTACCGCGGGAACGGAGGAGAACTGGGTGGCAGTGACAGAAGCACGAGCCAAGTATCTGCATGAACTGCTGCCAGCAGACTTAGAAAACTTGCTCGTAGCACAACTGAGCAACGTCCAGAGGTACCGCTCTTGGTGTAAGGGCCTAATAAACTCAAGCTATTAAGACTTTATCAAACTTAAAACCTCTCTTCGGAGTCACCTCTAAGGGTCCTTGGGTGCCTGGTACAAGACCAGCCCTAACCTCGGGTCCGAGTTTGTAGAGAGAGGGATCAAGAGGGACTTAGTATAAAAAGTAAGAGTACATTGAACGTCGCACACCGTCTCGTGCAGACCGTTGATCGGATTCAGCTGAGACTTTGCTATATCGAAGCTCGCTCCAACAGCTTTAAAATAAGCCAAGTTGCCTCGCGAAAAGTTATGCCATTACGAAGTTATGGCTCGGACCACCAAGTTGCCTCGCGAAAAGTTATGCCATTACGAAGTTATGGCTCGGACCGCGTTTGCCTAGCGTCGTAGTGCTAGCGTACTAGCGTTGACTTGGGTAGCGGCCGTCATATCGTGTAGAACGAAGTTCCATGAACGGAGGAATTCGCTTGAATCAAATTGACTATATCCAGGTACAGACAAAGAAGGAATAAATAGTTCTAGCTAACAAGGCCCTTGGAAATGAACCTGGGAACAACCAGGGATGATCCCAAATAATTCCAAGCAATAGAACCAACCTGGCTAGACAAAACAACAGGTGGTAGGTTGGTAAACAACCTCTGGTTCTGTTTTTCCAACCTAGAGAAACATCAACCAGGTTCAGGTCCTAAAACAGAACCTGTTTCGTCTTTGCCCAACCAGCCAAATGCTGGTTCCACTGGTTTCCCCTGGCCCTATAGTAATGCAGATACAGACAAACAACATCCAACATTCACCTAAATTATACCCCTATAGTACCTGCCCTGCTATACTGTAGTCAACCAAACAAAACACTACAATTTTGAGTTGGATATAACTGAATCTGCACAATCAATTCAACCGAACCGCAAATCTTCCATCTTTGGTTCCTTTGCGAGCTCGTCCTTTCTGCTTGTACTGTTCATAGCGCGTACAATGTTGTGCCGGAGCACACAATGCGCGAGTATCTGCAAATGCTTCAAGTGAAAATTGCGAAAACAAACAAACACACGAACATTCCATTCACGACCACATATATTCGCACACGCATACTCGTACAAACAGACGGCAGGATGTCGTGCAATGTGAATTTGCACCCAACGCACCCCCCGACAGCCTGCCGGCTGCATCCCCATCATTCCATGCTAGTTCATGCTCATTCCACTCATGCGCACACAGCGCCAATACTGGCTCATCGGCAAGCCTCTTGGTGAGGAAGTCTGCTGGCTGCTGGTGAGTCTTGATGTATATCGGATTCACCGTCCCTCTCTTCACCTCCTTACGCAGCCAGTGCCACTTGATACGCATGTACTTGTTCAGCCCATGAAGCACAGCGTTCCTGGCCATCCCAAGAGCTCCCTTGCTATCACAAAACAGCGGCGTAGCAACCTTCTGCTCCTGACCAATCTCCTCTAACAGCCTCCTCAGCCAAATCACCTCCTTCACCCCATGGAACATCGCCATGTACTCTGATTCCACAGAAGAGAGTGCCGTCTCCGTCTACTTCTTTGAGCTCCAATTAATAGGTCCTTACCCAACTATTCAGATATATCCCCCCACAGATCAGGAATCCTCCTTTTCAGAGGCCCACGTAGCATCAGTAAAGCAAGTGAGAAACAGCTTGCCTTCTCCAAGCCGCTTCCCTTTCTCTTTCAGCACCTCATCCCCTTTCTACTTCACCTGTGCAGATGCTGAGTATTGAACTCCAATGCTTGGGTGAGAGTTCAGATACTTCACCACACGCTCAGCTGCATCCACCTGCTCCTCTGATGGATTCTGCACCACCCTAGCCAGCTGCCCAACCGAGAAAGAGATGTCGGGCCTTGTGTGAACTGCTGCATACAAGAGGCTATACCTGAGCAACGAGACGAGTTACTCGTTCGGACTCGGCCGATTTACTCGTTTGGGTGCGAGTAACGAGTTTCGTTTTTTGTAAAGTGGCAACTTTTGTAAAGTTTCGTTCAGATCGGGATGACACCTTCAGAGCTTCACCAACTGAAAGTGGCCTCCGCTGAGTTTTATCGTGCGCAACTTTTAGAGGCGGTTGGAGGAGGCAAGAAGGTAGACAAACGTCATGGCGAAAGGAGCTCTGGGTAAATCGCGGCACTCATCGTGACGATAATGTGGAGAACGGGGTTGATGGAGAGGATCGCGAACGGCACGGTGGTGCAGTAGGGGACGATGACGATGATGACGGTGGTGCTCGCGTGGATGGTGACGAGGATGAGGCGGATGAGGAGATGGTGGCGGCCGACGAAGAGAAGGACGAGGAAGCGGAGGGGGATGCCGAGGAGGAAGAGGAGGGGCATGCCGAGGAGGAAAAGGAGGGGGATGCCGAGGAGGAAGAGGAGGGGGATGCCGAGGTGGAAGAGGAGGGGGATGCGGAGAAGGAAGAGGGTGATTTGGAGGAGGGGAGCGGTGACGACTCCGAGGAGGAGGTGTACATTGGTGACGGAGAGGAGGCGGAGGACGACAACGCTGAGGACTACGACAACTTGGAAGAGGAAGGGATGGAGGATACAGGGGGAGATGGGGGGGAGAGAGCTAAAAAGAGGAGGCGGGATGGAAATGGGAAGGGTAAGAAGGCAGCAGGCGGTCGAGGTGGTGGGGGGGAAAGGGGGCGGCCAGGGGAAAGGGGGTGGGCGAGGGAGAGTGAGGGGGGGTGGTAGTTCCTGTGTTCGAGGGGGAGGGCAGATTCGGAGGGAAGACACTTCCGGGGATGGTGTTGCTCCCCCATCCGTGCACTCTAATGCCACACCACCCAAGCCCAAGGTTCTAACGGGGTACGTCACCCAATGTTTTGAGAAGATTCCTGAACATCCGAAAGAGAAGCGTCGATGTCGCAAGTGCAATAAGGAGATCTCCTTTGCCGGAACCAACTGCACGACCGGCAGGACTCACATGCAAGGGCAGCACCTCAACCACTGGATCATATGGTTGCGGAAGTTCCATGGTGGGGAGGTGGGCCAAAACGACCACTTCCCTGAGGGGGGGTATGGGATTGACGACGAGGTTCTGGACGGGGGCGTGAAATGGGTAGGCCCAGACACTTGGTCAGCGCCGCCCACTGAGGGGGTGCCAGCGAGGAAGGGGCAGCAGCTGATCACGCAAACCTACCCCAAGTGCTTCGACAAGGACCATCTGCAACAGGCCATATGCGAGTGCGTGGTCGCCACTGACCAGGCATTCACTGTGGTGGAGCACCCGACGGTGAGCCCACCACCATACCATCACTACCTCCTTCTTAACCACAAACCAGCAGTGATTGTCCCGTAGATCGTCATTCAGTATGCTGCTACTTATGTCTTGTCGCGTAAGTTGTACCTCCTGCTGTGTGCTTGACCAAACCCGCAGTGAATGAAAGTCATTCTCCGCGCCCTCGCACGTACCCACCCCCCACACCCCTTCTTGATGGGATTTTCGCAATATGATGGCGGCCACCAATCTTGAGTGTGCCGTGGAGAAAGTGATTCCCTCGCGCTCCACCCTAGCCCGCCAAATCATCCGCCTGGCAGGGCTGGCAAGGATCAAGCTCATGGAGATGCTTGCTGCTGATGGGGTAGGGGCTGTTGCACTTATGCATTACATATGGACCGGTGAGAATCACCGGTCGTATATATCAGTGACAAGTCACTGCGTGAATGAGAAGTTTGAGCTCATGCAGATAACCCTCGACTTCTGCGCTATGCCCGGCAAGCACATTAGCGCGAGGATCATCGAGGTGCTGCTCGATGTGGTGAAGGAGTGGAACTTGGAGAAGCAGTGCATTGCTGTGACATCCAACAACGCGTCGGCCAATATCGCAGCGATGGAGTTCCTTTGCCGTGGGGGGCCAACCGACTGTCAGCCGCCCTTGTTCTTCTCCGGGATGCACGTCAGGTACATTAAGTTGGTTTACCTCTCGCATACATGGTGACATGGTGCCGTGTTGTGTGTGTGTGCGAACGGTAATCGTGATCATTCCGGTGTGTACGCCTTCTCTTCCAATCATGCAACTCGAACACCAGATGCATGGGCCACATTTGCGACCTAGCAATCCAGCTAGGGCTGAAGAAAGTGCTCGATATCAAGAAGCCGCTAGGGATCGTTAGAGACCTAGCCTCCTTCATTGGGTTATCGCCGAACTACCCTGTTCGAGAAGATCCAGAAGCGTGCTGATGAGAAGGCGAGGATATTGCGTCTTCGCGGGGACAATGAGGTGCGGTGGGGCTCAACCTACCTCATGCTCGAGCGTGCGCTTCGACTTCGAAGTGCCATCGAGACCTTATACCGCAAAGCTCCAGAAAGCAAGTAGATGAGCTGAGGCATAGCGGCTAACTGTGATGTCTTCCCCATTGAGCTTTGGTGTGTGCTGCTGCAGAATGTTTACCATCAAACTACATCTGCTCCGTCCCCATACCTACAACATCAATGTTGTCTTTTGTTTGTCAACCAACATTCCACCCCAACAGGCAATTCTCACCGCCAAGGATGCCAAGTGCCTCCAGGCCCTCACCCTCTCCTCGGAGCAGTGGTTGGCTTTGGAAAAGCTTGCGACCTTCCTTAAGCCATTCCATGTCGTGAGCCTCGCCGCTGAGGGGTCCAAGTACCCCACGATCTCCAGGGTTGTCCCGCACTTCAATGAACTGTTGGACGGCCTAGACACCCTCAAAAATAGTGTGTCATCCCCCCCATCAGGGGTCATGAAGGACTGCATCACTGAGGCAGAGGAGAAGCTGATGGAGTACTACTCGGGCAGCAGTGATGAGCTTTGGGTTGCCACCTTTCTTGACCCAAGCTTCAACATCGGGTACTTCGAGATGTATGGTTGTTGGTGTAAGGGCCTAATAAACTCAAGCTATTAAGACTTTATCAAACTTAAAACCTCTCCTCGGGGTCACCTCCAAGGGTCCTTGGGTGCCTGGTACAAGACCAGCCCCTATCCTCGGGTCCGAGTTTGTAGAGAGAGGGATCAAGAGGGACTTAGTCAAAACAGCAAGAGTACCTTGAACGTCGCGCAGCGTATCGTGCAGACCGTCGATCGGATCAAGCTGAGAATTTCCTATATCGAAGCTCACTCTAAGAGCTTTAAAATAAGCCAAGTTGCCTCGCGAAAAGTTCTGCCATTACGAAGTTATGGCTCGGACAGCGTTAGCCTAGCGTTGGAGTGCTAGCATACTAGCGTTGACTCGGGTAGCATTCCGCCGTCGCATCGCGTAGAAACGAAATTCCAGCAAGGAAGGAATTCGCTTGAATAAATTTCACTATATCCAGGTACAAACAGAGAAGGAATAAATAGTTCAAGCTAGCAAGGACCTTGGGAATGAACCTGAGAACAACCAGGGATCATCCCAAATAATTCCAAGCAACAGAACCAACCTGGCTGGACCAAATAGCAGGTGGTAGGTTGGTGAACAACCTCTGGTTCTGTTTTTCCAACCTGGGAAAACAACAACCAGGTTCAGGTCCTAAAAACAGAACCTGTTTTGTCTTTGCCCAACCAGCCAAATGCTGGTTCCGCTGGTTTCCCCTGGCCCTGTAGCATGCAGATACAGACAAACAACATCCAACCTTCACCTAAATTGTACCCCTATAGTGCCTGCCCTGCTACACTATAGTCAACCAAACAAAACAGTACAATTTCGAGTTGGATAGAACTGAATCTGCGCAATCAAGTAAGCCGAACCACAAAGCTTCCATCTTGGGTTCCTTTGCGAGCTCGTCCTTTCTGCTTGTACTGTTCATAGCGCGTACAATGTTATGCCGAAGCGCACATTGTGCGAGAACCTGCAAATGCTTCAAGCGAAAATTCCGAAAGCAAACAAACACACGAACATACCATTCACACGCAAATGCATTCGCATACGCATACTCGTACAATCAGACGGCAGGATGTCGTGCAATGTGAATTTGCACCCAACACACTCCTCCTCAGCCTGCCGGCTGCATCCCCATCATTCCACACTAGTTCATGCTCATTCCACTCATGCGCACACAGCGCCAATGAGGCTCATCCTCATCATCCGGGTCATAGCCATGCGGTAGAATCAGCAATGCCTCCTCGGTCCCAAGCTGCTGCTCCGCAACATCAGCTCCTGCAGTCAGCTTCTTAGTAGCCATACGGGTACGTCCTGGCCTGGAGACGGATGTCTCCCATCCCTTCATAACAACACCCTTTGGCTTCTTAGTTTTCCCCTGCTGCTGCTCTCCTCCCTCGGATCCAGCAGCTCCACTAGTGCTATCGCTAGTCTCCACACCATTGTTTTCACCGGCAGGTGCCTCCTGCACCTTCTCTCCAGCACCACCTTTTGCAGCTGCCTCCTCTCCCTCCTCCCACACACTAGGAGTCAGGTCCAGCTGCATGGTGATCTGCTCCATCTGCTGGGACACCCTGGCCTCCGGCTGTTTCTCCCAGCTCCCATACATCATGCCCTCAACAAACTTCACATCCCTGCTGTCAAACAACACACCCTTGGAAGGTTCCCACAGCGGCCATCCCTTGCTCTCAGCAGCCAGCCCCAAATGCACACACCAGATTGCACTCGCCCCCAACTTACTGCGGTAGGTCTTGGGGACGTGGGCGACTGCCATGCAACCGAACACCCTCAGCATGTCCACCGGCGGCTTCCTCCCAAGCCACCTCTCCAACGGCACCCACGAGTCATCCCCAACCTTTGTGAGTACCCTGTTCCTAGCGACGGTAGCGTGCCGAACAGCATGGGGCCACATGGAGTTGCCCAGCCCAGATTCTATGAGCAGCGCCCTAGCTGTCTCCAGAATTGTCCGGTTCGCCCGTTCTGCTACACCGTTAGACTGTGGGGTGTAAGCCGTGGTCAGCTCCCTCTGGATGCCCTGCTTCTTGAGCCAGGCCGTCATCTCAGCTCCAATGAACTCACCACCCCGATCTGTCCTAATCCGCTTCACCACACACTCCGCTTGCTTCTCCACGAATGGCAGCCAATCTTCCCGTATCGTAGAGGCGGCATGGTCCTTCTGCTTCAGCGGATATGCCCACATAAGCCTGCTCCAACCATCCACTATGGTCAGAAAGTACCGCTCCCCCTTGTGTCCCTGAACCGGCAGCGGCCCCACCAAGTCCATGTGGACCAGCTCCAACGGCTTCTTGCTCCTGCCAGCCACACTATGGAAGGGGAAACGGGTAAACTTTGAGAGCAAACAGATTTCACAGTTATCATCGGGTGGTTGTCCGTTCAGCTTCAAGCCCTTAACGGCTCCATCCTTCTCTAGCTGCTTCAGCAAAGGCATTGCCACATGCCCCAAGCGTCGGTGTGCCGTTGCCCAATCCGTCTCCCCAGATCTGGCCGACACTTTCACACCAACCCCTCCAACGGCGTTGCACTCCCCCTGGGATGCAGACCCCTCTCCAGCCTGCCCCCCACCATGCCACGCCAACGCCGGCAGCTGCCACATGGATCTGTACACGTCCGTGCTCTCGTGCAGATCCCAAAGCACCCGATTGCCTAGCTGCCCCTTGTAAGTGCGTGCCCCATCCGTGCTAGTGCTCACCCCAGCCTTGCCAAGCTTACGGAGGGAGATGAGGTTGGCCTTGAGTTCAGGAACGAGAAGAACGTCGTGCAGCACCACCGGCTTGCCATCCGCTCCCTTAAACGCAGCTCGTCCCGCACCAGCCACCTTCAGCGCGTGTCCAGAGGCGGAGCACACCTCGTTGATCGGTGCAGCGCGTACGTGGTCCAGGAGGTCCTTGCGTAGCGTCATCGTCCAAGCAGCGCCCGTGTCCAACACCCAATAATCCAGGGGGTGCAGCTCTGCTCCAACCTTGGCAGAGGCGTCTCCTTGCTCCCCCTTGTCTCCCATATGGAAGAATTGGCCCGCGGTGCGCTCCTTCTTCTTCTCCTTGGCTTCGGTGGTGCTGGACGCGGTGCAAAGAAGGACGACGACTCCAACGACCAACAAGGAGGTACCGGTTGGGGTCGCGGTGCGAAATCTGGACGTGGGGGCAAGTCGAGTGCTGGTGGCAAAATGAAAGGGAGTTGCTGGCAAAATGAAGCGCTCCTTCTTCTTCTCCGCACCGCCGTTGCCCTTTGGGTTGTTGTCGGACGAATCAGCGATCATGTTGGCACCGTTTTTCTGGTTCCTCCGCGCGCCGCCATCCTGGTGACGATTCTGGGGGGTCCATCCATCGGGTTTCTTATAGCACAAAAACCAGGGGTGCCCTTCCTTCTCACAATACCAGCAACTCCCTTTCATTTTGCCACCAGCACCCGACTTGCCCCCACGTCCAGATTTCGCACCGCGACCCCAACCGGTACCTCCTTGTTGGTCGTTGGAGTCGTCGTCCTTCTTTGCACCGCGTCCAGCACCACCGAAGCCACGTCCTTTGCCACGTCGGCTCCCTTGCATCCCGTAGCCGCTGCTGCCGTCGTCTCCACCTCTCAGTTGACGGCGACGGAAGTCCTCCTCTAGAATCTTTGTCCGCACCCACTCGAGTGTCCACGAGCTCTGGTTCTGCGGCAGGCTCAATCCACTCGTGAATTGAAGCCACGATTCCGGCAGCAGCGAGAGCATCTTCAGGCACTTGGTCTGCTCCGGGTAGGTGATTCCCGCGATCGCCAACTTCGCGTAGAGGTCGCGCAATTTGTCCAGGACAGGTTGCACCGGCTCTCCCTCGCTCAGGCGCAACGCGGACAGCTCCCTCTCCAGCATCAATGTTGCAACAACGGAGGTCGGGGCGTGCAGCTCCTTCAACACGGTCCACGCCTTCGGACCGAACTCAACCTCCGGCAGCAGGTGCATGACGTGGTGACGCTGGTTCAGCTCCAAACTCTGCGACATCAAGTAGTAGCCAGCCGAGGCGCGCTCGTCCCAATCTTCCTGAAGGGCGGGGTCACTCGGTCTAGGCTCCTCCCCAATCATTAGTTTCAGCAAACCGATCTGACGGAAATAAAGTTGCATTTTCCAGGCCCAATCATCATAGCCCTCACCATTGAACTTCTCGACGGTGAAGTTTTTCAGCACCTCCTTGATCAGCGAGCCCTGGCTTGTTCGCGCTCCCCTTGGCGCAGAAACACCAGAATCTTGGCTGCCGCTACGATCTTGGGCTGAAGTTTTACCAGCTACCGCCGAGGTGTTGCCCGCCATAGCTACGTATAACGAGGATCACTATAACGGAGCTCTAATACCAGCTTGTTGGTGTAAGG